TTATGGAGTTTGAAGGTGGTTGGGTTGCTTTAGGTCATGAGGTGATGTGACCTGACTGATTTAGGTATCCGTCATAGGATTGGTACCATCCTCGATCATTCCAATTGCCTTTATGTGCTTACAATGGGAAAAGTAGTCCACGACTTTCCTACTGTGCGTACTGTGAGGACGAGATCTCACTGTTTGGACTTTGATAACTCTATTTTAAATGCAATGTAAAAGGTGGACCTTTATTTCAGACAAGAGTGGAACAGATGATAAGAGCTCAGCGTCCAGTGCTACAACAAACACCAGTGGCAATTCCAACACCGAAAAGGGGAGTGGTGAAGTCAATGCTATCCTCGAAGGTGGTCAGTCAACCTCTACTGGCACTGCAAGCGGTAATGAACCCTGCATCCTCCTAGTGGTTAAATGGGGAGGCGAACTCACTGCAGCCGGTAGGCAACAAGCGGAACAATTGGGCCGCGCTTTTCGTTGCATCTACCCCGGTGGAGATGGCAATTATGGCAAGAATCCTGGTCTTGGACTCCTTCGGTTGCATTCCACTTATCGCCACGATTTGAAAATCTACGCTTCTGACGAGGGTCGCGTTCAGATGACTGCTGCTGCTTTTGCCAAAGGCTTTCTTGCCTTGGAAGGCGAATTGCCTCCTATCCTAGTACAAATGGTAAAGAGCGCAAATACCAATGGACTGCTGGACAATGACAACGATTGTCATCAATACCAACAGATGGTGAAAAAACGAATTAAGAAGGTTATGTCCTACAAGGGTGTATGGGGTGAAGAACATCGACAAGCGCTGGCGCCTACAGGAGCGAAGTCTCTCCTTAATGCAATGGACTACGTTGGCAATCCAACAGAGGCCTGTACTAAGTTATTCGGCTACGTTCAGCGACTGGCAAATCGCGTTGCAATGCTAACAGCAAATCTGCGGGAGCGAGAAAAGATGAGTCTATATCACAATGAATCCTGGGATTTGTTGCTACGTCGGTGGGGCAAATTGGTTAAGGATTTCCGTTCACCCAATGGGGATTACGATGTCTCAAAGTTGCCTGATATTTATGATAATATCAAGTATGATATTCAACACAATCCAGGTATTCTTATTGAATCAGAAATGCTGGATTTCTTCAGCCTCGCACGAGCACTTGCTGATATTGTGGTTCCACAGGTAAGAGTCATCTTTCATCTACTAGTATAACCGCTTTACTCTTCGTATGAACTCGAAAATATGTCCTGGTCATGGAAACGTGGTGTGGATGAAGACTCATGATGCATTGTCTATGTTTGGAGTCAATCATTGTTTCTTTCTAGCTTCGGTCCTCCTTTGACGCCTCTTTCAATGCCTTGTTTTCATGACTAAGGGAGAGAAATCTCTGTCTCATTAACCGTCTCGATTCCTGTCGCTTGTCTCGTATTCATTGTTAGATTTGTTTCC